TAGGTTCGTTGTGGTATTTAACTCAATTTAGAGGGGGACAGCGTCAGCATTCTTGCAGTATATAATTAGTTGCACAGAGCTTCTGAGGCTGGGAGGTAAGGCAGAAGTAATTAAACATGCTTCTTTCTAATTGGACGGCAGCGAGGCAGTCCTGGATGTGAATAGAATGTTTTTCTGTAATGAGCAGATGACCTTACTTTTCACTGAGTTTATGATTCAATCATTTAGTTCAAGTGTTGGCTTGCTTTCATGAGGTGTCCTATTAGTAAATGGGTTCATTTAGAGTAAAATAGACCATAAAGCTGGGTAGGCTTTAGGGCGTGGCTACCTTTTGATTGACAGGTCATTCTCAGTTCTCCAGCTTAACGCACCAAACTCAGATCAAACTAGATTCACATTCTGTAAATGCATTTTTTTTTGTTTTTGTTATTATTATTGCTTAAAATTGCCTTACAATGATATTTCAGTGTACTGTTTATCTGGAGTGTGTGTGTGTGTGTGTGTGTGTGTGTGTGTGTGTGAGTGAGATGTATACATTGCTCATGCTGATTGCTCCGCATCCACAGTGGTTTGGTTGGGTGTTGTATTTGGTTTTCTTCTGGTTTTTTTGGTTAGTTTAACAAAGGAACTGCTTATTATGAACTGTTAGTGTAATTACTTTTCTGTTGGCTTTAACTTAACTTTTTATCTTTGATCATGTTTCTATTCATGAAATATGTGTTTTACTTACTGCCGGTCCTCCTTTATTTTCTCCTCTCTAGGGCTCGCAAGGCAATCGAGGCCTGAATGGGAGGAGAGGGAATCCAGGACCTCCGGGACCTCCAGGACTTCCTACTCTCTACCTATGGAGGAACTCTGAGGAGGACTGGACTGCTTTTAGGGTAAGAGTAAATGTAAACACCCACATTACAATCAGTCTGGAACTGCACTGAACGCATGAGGATTTGGACCATGCTGTAGCACCAGTACAGAGTGCTCGTCAATGTCCTTTTTAGCTCATTTGTCCTCTTGAGGTCGACTCAGACCAGTGCCGTCAATGTCCTCACCACACTTGGTCTATTCCTGACTGCTAATGTCACCCTGTCTTAATACCACAATATTTCCAGCCAGCTTTCTATGATTGAAATCTCTTGTTTAGTTAATATAGTGACTGAATTTCTAAATTGGTGCAGTTCAGTGGACACATATAAAACAACATGGTGATGCCAATGCCACAGTGGCAGCAGTCTATAGGAAGGTTACAGCTACAGTCAGCCTCATTAAGAAGACTATAGTATTTGTGAAATGTGTCTCTAGTTTGTAGAAACTAAAAAAATAAATTAAAAAAACAACTTGAAAATGACTTGGGTGTGCTTCGGGAATTGTCATATTATTTTTTTTTGGGGGGGGAAGCATCAGTTGTAAAAGTACAGATGTATTGTTAGCTTTATGTAGTAAAAGTACATGTTGTGCAGTAAAATATCTCCGGTGACTTATATATGATTCTATAATTAGAGCATGAAAACATAAGCAATCAGACGATCAGACCAGGTTATCTAAACCATTAATCCATCTAACCCTAACCCATTATTTGGAGGTAAAACTGAAAGTGAGTGCACCTGAAATACCTGGAATAATCTGTCACTGCACAGCAAAACTGTACTTACTGGCATAAGTGCGTTCAGAGTTGAACCAGTTATTCAATTCAATTCAATTTTATTTGTATAGCACCAATTCATAACAGTTATCTCATAGACTGAACTCCTTATAACATTATTTACAGAGACCCAACAATTCCCTTCATGAGCAAACACTTGGCGACGGGGGCAAGTACAAAAATAAGATCCAAGATGTTAACTGGATGTATGTGAAAATATGAGAATGAAATCAGAGTAATGCAGTCTGATAACAGTGATGCAAATACAGTGCTTATGCAGTGGTTGTATGTAGACAGTGATCACATAGGCAGAGCCAGGCTTCTATTTCAGGCAGGGCTGAGTAATCCTCTCCCAGTGTGTTGACAGTGTATTTAGATGGCCACAGCTCTCTGTGCTCTCTCAGTCTGTAATGAAAGCTGAAGTATCTGCCAAGCATTGTAGCTGGAGCCCATCCAGACCCTCATGCCGGGTCAGACCCTGCGCTTTGCTTTTTGACCAGCTATACGAGCAGGGCTAAGCTGGCTGTGAAAGGCCTTAGTGTTGCCTTGCTCAGAGTACACTGAAGGCTCTGACTGCTGACACAATGAGACTTAAGGGAGGTCCAGGCCTTTCCGCCAGGCTGAGTTTTACCTTGACAGGGTTGGCCAGGCTCCACTCGTACCCCCGCTGCAGCACCATCGCCAACACAAATAAGACCTGGAGCAGAAGAGCTGGGTGGTGGAATAAACCAGAAGGACTCCTGTGTGCCGAAGTTGACTGGCACTCCTCTTCACTTTCAGAGTGCAGTGACAGCAAGCTCTGTGCCGTATCGCTTAACAACCATCAGAGGACTGCAAATTGCACTGCATGGAACTCTCAGCACTTTGTCATGTCTCATGTCTTTTGGCTCCATCTGCAATCTCTAGTGTTATAAGACATGAAGTATGAAAGCCAAGTCCACAGACTGTGTGAAGTAGCAGTGTGCTCACTCTGAGCTGGCTGACTTGAAATGTAAGTGATTTGTTTCCTGAACAGTTCTGAACATGTGCAGTGCCGCTCCTACAGTAAGGTTGAAAAGTACAACTGATGTCAAAAACCACAAAAGCCTGCATAAAAAGTTCCAAGTCGCGGCACAGCTGTTTATTTTTGGCGCAATCACTCATCTTCAGAACGAGTTTGAGAAGAGATGGATTATTTTGATCTCCTACCAGTCGAAGAATTAATTAGCTGTCTTTGCTCTTGGTTTTAATTAAAAAAAATCTAAAATCCCTAAACATCAAACAATCTGGCAACATCAGACTGATAATATAATAAGTGTTGTTATCTCGAGCGAAATATCTTGACAGCTGCTGGAGGATTGCCATGAAACTTTGTTCATTCATGTTTTCCAGAAGGTAATTCCTAATGACTTTGGTGACCCTCTTACTTTTCATCTAGTGCCACCACCAGGTTACAATTTGATTTTGTCTGATTCTTTGATTTATGACCAAATACCTGCAAAAAGCCTTAACTGTACTTTATGTTTAGTGCTAGCAAATATTAGCATACTAACACACTAATCTAAAATGGTGAACATAATAGATTGTAAACATAAACATAATTTTCATAGTGAGTTATCATGCACACATGTTAGCATGCTGCTCAAAGCAATGGCCTTACAGCCTTTATTTTATTTTAAACTGTCTGTATTTTTACTATGTTGATTACCTTTTAAAAGTTCAGTGTGTAACATTTAGGTAGATCTAATGACAGAAGTGGAATGGAACGCAAGAAGGATCCATTGGGTTTCAATCTGCAACTTCACTGCTAAATGCCACTAAATCCTACACACTGGTCCTTTAATCATTGTCTTTACTATATTTATTGTTTTAATGGATCAATACCTATCAAATATATCATTTTCAATTCTAATTTTGACTGCTTGTTTTTCCAGAGATCAGCTATCCATCAAATGCTCCGAGCTGGCTGGCCGGTGAGTAGCTCAGCTTTTAGATTAGATCGGAGACGCTCAATCAGAGTAAGTCACTGGTTTATGTTTCCTTGCTCTTAAGGTGACGCCTGGCCCACCTGGAACCATGGGTGAAATGGGCAAACCTGGTCCTCCAGTGAGTTTATCATCGATCACGCCTACATAAGTAATTTTGCATGATGATGTTGTCCTTGATTTTATTTTTTCTGCTTTTTCTCCTTTACTTCTTTTTCTTTCCCATTTGACCCTGCTGTACCTTGTCATAGTTAAATGAAAGTATTCTTAAAGTTGTTATTAAAATATATTTATCATTAAGGGTATTCCTGGAGATCCAGGAGACAGAGGGATACCAGGACAGACAGGAGACATGGTAAATGTTAAAATTGAAAATCCTTTCTGTAACATCAGAAGCTGCATTGTACCCGGTGACCTAACATCATGTGATTGTATGTGTGTGCCAGGGTAACTCTGGGCCAAAGGGCGTCTCTGGTAATCCAGGGAGGTGGGGCAGGAATGGCAGTCAAGGAGTAAATGGGCATCGTGGGCCACCAGGACTACGTGGGCTGCAGGTGAGAACCACTAGTACTCACATTTGGAGGAATGGTCACTCAGTAGGTTGTCAATGAGTGACCTGTATCATTTGGTAACCTTTGCAGTCTTTTTTTCCCTCTAGGGTCCCAGAGGTTTTAAAGGAGAAGGGGCTTCACCAGGGGAGAAAGGTGATGAGGTGAGAGTTTTGGCTAAATCAGGTTACCATTGAACTGCTAAAATGGTCAAGTTCGATGTGAATTGAACAACAAATGCACTGTTGGCTGTGATCCTCCAAGCTACTCTATATAGCAAAAACTGAGCTAGGTAATGGAATCTATGTTAACACTTAAACAGCAGTTCACAAACCTTACTGTCATGTACTGCTAGGATGAAGAAAAAATTAACAATCCTATGCTCTATTCAACTGTATACTTGGCTTGACTTGGTAGGGCTTTTTTATACTATTATTAGTATATGGACAACCCATTACTGTCTTAAGACTGACTTAAATTTGGTGTCTGAGTATTTGAAGTCCTAAAATAATCCCAAAAATCCAATAATCTAAATTGTAGGCCTTAAAATGTCTTAAATATGATTTTTACACGTTTTAAATAATGATTGGATTAATAAAGTTAACCATACTTGTAAACATGTTTTTAAATGTGTTTTTTGGAAAAATGTATATTGCTCATGTTGTAACAACTACAATACCAAACTGACATGGAAACAGTACAGATTTTCCTTCATAGATTTTGTACTTTAATGGACATAAAATAAGCAAAACAATGGTCTTAAATTTAACCAGTTGAACCCTGCTTAAAAAGCTTTAAACCTTTATCCTGTAATTTAACTGTAGTTCCACCCCACTCCAGAGTTTGAGAACCACTGCACTGAGTTGAGTAAAAGCAGGCTACAAGCTAAGCCTACATTATGCTGTATGTACTGACTCACTAGTATTGCAAATACTACTGACTTGACTGACATGGCATATTATTTCAAATGCACCTAAGTCTGGCATTTTTGTGATTTGTGTTGTAAAAAGAAACTTTAGTGTTAGCATGGAGCACCAGGACAAGTAATCGATAGGGTATTGTTTCATTTTAGTCTTTGTTTTCTCATTACGTAAGGGAAAAATTCATTGGTCGGACAGTATCCTGAAGACTTCATGCATTTATTCATTAATACTAGAAAGGCACTCAGAGAGCACAGACCTGTGCCAAGGACAATACTCCAGTCTTCAGTGATATGTAAATCTACAAGTGCAACCAGTATACACCGATCAGCCATAAGATTGTGGGCACTGACAGGTGAAGGGAATAACACTGATTACCTGGTTATCATGGCTCCTGTCAGTGGGTGGGATATATTAGGCAGCAAGTGAACATTTTGTCCTCAAAGTTGATGTGTTAGAAGCAGGAAAAATGGGCAGCGTGAGGATTACAGAGATTTGGAGCGACTTTGACAAGTGGCCAATTGTGATGTCTAGACGACTGGGTCGAGATCTCCAAGACCTTGCAGCTCTTGTGGGGTTGTTTCCGGTCTGCAGAGGTCAGTACCTATCAAAAGGCGTCCAAGGGAAGGAAAAGAACGCGGAGACAGTATCATGGGGGCCAAGGCTCCGTTTGATGCACGTGGGGAGTGAAGGCTGGCCTGTGTTGGTTGATCCAGACAGGACGATGCTACTGTAGCTCAAACCTGCTGAAACAGTTCATGCTGGTTCTGATTAGAAAAGGGGTCAGAACACACAGTGCAGAGCAGTCTGTTGCTATGGGGCCTGTGTAGCTGCAGGACCAGTCAGGGGTGCACAAGGTTCATAATGTTTATGGCTGATTGTGTAATCTATTGTTTGGATAACTTTCCAAAAAATATTAGAATGTATATGTCAAGAATTATGGTGGTGCGTTAGCTGAATGTTCTCATTTCATTCGTTAGCTGTGCAATAAAGTACTTCAAAATTTTGAAATTTTCACATACTTTTAACAAACTTAGGGAAAAAAAAAAATCAAATTACGAGATGAAATAACGATCATTCTTACATGATTCAAGTTGGTCATATCTCAGAATGTTGATGAAAGTGATAAAGTTATTTGTGGATCCGCCTTTTCCAAATGTTCATGCTTCCACCCTTCCAGTAAGTTTTTATAACATTGAAGTCCAGGTAGTTCTTTTCATAATCCCTTGGCTGACAGACAAAAGCACCAAAAACAGTTAACCTTCCTTGGGTGGATGGTATAAGTAAATTAATAAAAGATCTATTCGTACTATTTCACCACACACAGATTTCTGGTGTCGATGTGCTAGTTATTTCAGTCGCAAAATTACCAAATAAATGGCCATTTGTTTTAATCCAACAGCCACCTTAAATGTTCCTTTTATTCCTTTATTACAATGCACGGAGCGGTTCACATGCAATTGTGGGAACATTTGGAGTTCCACTTAGGGTGAAATAATTTAATTTCAGACACACTGCACAATTTGGCAATACGAGTATATAGTAAATAATGGAATGATCCTCAGAACAGCCTTTTGTTACCACTTTGAATCCAGTGGATTGTTTATGGTCAGAGGTCAAGATGTCCAATAACTTTACTGCCTTCTCTGGAGTCTCATTATGTTGGGCTGAAAGATTTATGTTTGCTCCTTCATTTCTGTGGAGTACCACAAAGGCTTACATTTAGCCCCTGGGGTTTTCAAGTTCAGTTTGTAGCCAATTACTTGCATCAATGCACTTATTTTCCAAACACTGCTCAGTTGGCCAACAGACTGCACCAGGGCACTCAATACGTTGCAAAGAAAGGATGTTTTGCTGTATGGTAAGCATTACATTTAGTTTTTTCTGTGTCCGCAAACTGTAGGGTTTCCCTGGTGGAGGCCCTGGACCAGAGTGGGACAGAGGGGGAGCTGGTCGGGAAAAGGTCAGTATAAAAATAGATTTTTGGTGAGTATGTTGCTTTTCTTGCGTGATCTCTGCTCTTATTTTGAGCTGTATGGATGCAGCAATGGGTCTGACTGCATCACCCTTCTAGGGTGGCTTGTAACCAAAGCTGCAGAATTGAAACTATCTAATTGAATCATATTGCTAGTTCTGCTGTACTGTGTGCATGTCACTTCTATTAAATGTAACATTCATTCGGACATGTATTAAGGACATATATACAAATGTCTGCTTGGATGATAGTGACGTTGTGTCTGAGATGTTATAAAAAATAAAAATAAAAACATAAAAAATTATTTTTATTGAGCACATGAGAAACTTTCCACCCAGAGATGAATGTTAACATCCTTCTAGTGTCAAACTCTGCACAGACGACGCATTCAAAGCAGCACTGTAGGGATAGGAAGAAAAATACATATTTGACTGGAGAGGACTTTTACTGTTTCAGCATATATTAATATCAGAGTGGTTGGAATATCATGGACAACTGATTTGATTTGATGTTGTTTGTGTGCCCTTCAGGGATCTAAAGGGAACAGGAGCAAGACGGATTGTGGCCCTCCTGTAAGTTCCATTTAAAGGGGCACTTCGCTGATTTACACATTAAGTTGAGTTGTAATGGAATACGCTCTTTCAGTTTGATTAAATAACCACAGAGCTTGAAATACAAGGCATTTATAGTCATGGATGAACTACGGTCATGAAAATGGTATCAACTTGCCTTATGGAAAGTGATCTAGCTATTTGGTGCAATAACAGTCAATATGTCGCTCCCTTTTTTTTGAAACTGCCTGGTATACTCCCCAAACTTTATGAAGATGGAGACCTTAATGGCTGGAGTCCCACTAACGTGCATGTTGTCGATGTTATAGTGACCCTTACCATATCTTACTGTACCATTTATGCCTTATTTAATATAGGAATGATAATACTAATAGTAATGGATTACAGTAAGACATTTTCACCTTTATCAAATATCCACAGTAAAATGATTACCCGTAACATCCAAATTTTCCCATATCTACTGTTAGAAACATTCTGTATCAACTTGGTCCATCCCCTCTTATATACATATGATGTTACAGTGTAAGAGATATATTTAACCAAGACTCCAAACCTTTTAGTTTCTGAATTTTTTGCTGCACAGCTTGGGTTTGACTGACCCACAGAGCATCCATTCCTTTCATCCTAAACACCCCTGTTAACGTAAAAGGTGAAACCCACAACCTTTAAATCACTCCTGTCTTTCTAGTGTGGTATCCAGCCACATAATTACAACCATATTATGTTTTTGTTGTCTGGTAGGTGTACCTTGATTCTACCCATAAATTTAGCCTGACATTGTTAATATGTTTTGACACTTTGTGATATATTCCTCAGAACTCCCACTTTGTTACTGTTGTTCTCTTGTCTGCTGTTGTGTAAATCCATTTAAGATGAACTTATTGAATAATAGTCAATGCTAAATTTATATAACCACTTGACTTGATGTAAAATTGACTGCACTTTGTGTTTATCAGGTCCTTTAGGTCACAAGGGGCATTCAGGGATTCCTGGAGCTCCAGGGCCACAGGTCGGACATCGTTACACTGAATTGCTCTTACTGTGTCTTTATTCTCCTTACTGAAATGTCTTATGTGTTATTTTGCTTTTTAATCAGGGAGACTCTGGAGATGTGGATTGAAGGGTCCTCCAGGACCAGTGGTCAGCATGCATTAGTGTTCTAATACCTCACAAGTTCATTTATTGCTTCCTGCTGCTGATGAGCTATTTTTGGTAAATGTAAACTAAATTTTAGTCTGAATCTTCTAGGGTGCACCAGGGGCCACAGGAGTATAGGACAAC